TTTTTTGTCGATTTTCGATTACCTCGCTCTGTCCTCGCCACATGTCGTTTACGTCGAATTACCGAAAATTGCGGGTTAGCCCTAATGCGACGATTAAGGAGCGTTTCTGCGTTTTCAGGCCCGACGGGGAGCCGGTGAAGAAGCAAAAGCGTCAAGGTGACGAACCGAAGATGGGGTTGCTGAAGAGAGTCAGAATGCTTAACACCTCCGAGTACGACAGCGGCCTCGAGCCCGCGAAGAAGCCAAAGAAGTCCTGAGCTTCGCATTATCGCCTCAACTACTAGAAAACAAAATGCGATTTCGTTACCGTGATTCCCACCTCTCGTGTAAATAGCTCTCTCCCTTCTTAAGCGTACGGTTAACCGGAAAATCAGGTTACTCGCATTTTGACGATTTTATTCAAACTGTTTACTCATTCCATTATACCGCGCAATGTACACACATATATATGTATATGTGTGTATATCGTGTTTCGTAGATCGATTTGATTTTTTTTTTTTTGTTTTTATATATAAAAACGTAGTCTTTCGTACGATGTTCGTACGCTACAAAAATACGAAATGTTTGAATATTGTTGACGGAATAAATTCAGCGTGCTCGTAAAGCTCGCGGCATTACGTTCCTGAACTACAATCCAGCTCTACCCAAATGAAGTAATTAAATAATTTCAGCGAAATTCCCCGCTCCTTGCACAGTTCGTATCGTACTCTCGCTGAGCATACTAAACAGTGCACTAAATTGCGCTACGCCGAGTGTGCGCGGATGCGGAGTTTTTTTGGTCGTAAATATACGAGGACGAGACGTAAGTATGTCGGTACGCAGACGAGCGCGGAATAAAAGGGGGTGGGGAGGGACAGAAGCAGAAGAAGAAAGGGAAGGAATAAGGGCGGAGGGATTTGATTAATATGGCAGCATTATTTTCAGATTTTTTGCAGCACGATCCGCGAGCGCAAATTGCTTGCAAATAAAGGCGGCGTCGACTATCGCCGCTGGTAGGACAGCAAAGAAGCGGAGGGGAACAACGTTGAAGGAGAGGAGAGAGGTGGAGGCCGAGAGCTCAGCCGGGCTTAATTTAATTTAATTATGCCTTCTTTCTTCGCTACCAACGCGCCGGAAGATAGATGGCAAGCTCAGAATCGCCTGAATTGCCTCTCCTGCCGACATCGTTCGGAATTACGATTTCCTCTGATAGATTTCGACTTTCCATTAATCGGCCAACCTGCCCAATTAATCGTCGCGCGATGGCGACATTCGCGAATTTTTCACTCCAACGCCCGACTCGGTACATTCGCCATTGCGTTCGCGGCTCCACGATCGCCGATAGTCGATTTCCAGCCGGCAAATAGAAATTTACTCGGTCCTCGCGTACAAAGTTCGATTTATCGATTTTCGCCCGGTGACGAGGAATAATCGCCGAACGCGTGCATGATTCTGTCTGATATGCGACGTGACCGCATATTTTCGAAAAGTCAGCCAGATGTTCGTGAGCCGATGCATCGGACGTCCTCGAACCTCGGAGCGGGATTCATTTGCTTTAACGATTGCCCGTGTGTCGAACAACATGCGTTTTTCATCGTCGAAAGAACAGTAAGCGTCACATGACACGGTGAAATTTAATTAAACGTAATGTCCTCTCGGTCTCGTCCCGATGCATTTTCGAAACCCACCCAAGTAGCAATCTGTGAGCGGGCACATTAGACGAGACGGGGCAAAGAGTGCGATATTTATTCGTAATGTGCATCGCAATTCGTCGTGGCTTAGCATCAGTCATAGTCATCGCGAGCGTGCACACGCTCATAATGAACCGTACGATTAGGATATCCCGTTCGTTCATTCGTCGAATGGGTTTCGTGGACGAAGAAGTAATCGTAGATTGCTTCGAACGAATAAAAAGGAAAGCCGAAGAAAGGGTGTAATTCTCATTACCGGAGGATATGCGCAGCTTGAGTCCGATTAATATGACAGCAAAGAGAGGTGGGGACGAGACGGAGGGGAAAAAAAAAAAAAGAAAAAACGACGAAGAAAAGAGCCGGCTGTACGGGGACCAACTGCGTATCCACCCTCGTGTTTCGTTTTTACGTAGAAAAATGCGTGTCCGCGACTAATGCGCCATTGGAAAAAACGTAAGTAGATATAAAAGGAACCGATTATTCCGGGCGATTACCGATTTCCGGCCAGTTAACGATTTTTTCGAATCGTTTACACCGCCAGCCAGCGCCCCGTTCATTATTACCAGTCATTACGTTGCTCAGTATTTCATTGGTCGCTTTTGAATTATACTTTTGAAAATACACGTACCCAATCGCCACTGATTCATCGTCCGCGCGAACGATCGAAATCGAACGCGCTCTATTGTGAAAACGGAATTGCGAAACACCATTCACAAAAGCGTCGACTTGAAAAGGCAACAAAGTCCGACTTTAATTGGAAAATATCAATCGTTTCGCGTTTTGCCTCAAGAATACGTGACGAGTATCGCACGGCTCTACTTTCAAATTATCGTAGCTATTTCACGGGAAATATCGTACGTACGTGTATCTCACGCGAGCGCATCATCCACGTGGCAAAACCATGTATTTGACGATGAAAAGTGTTTTGCGATTTCACGCTTTGAAGTAAGGATAATATGGATAATGTTGGGACGTACATTCGACGATTTATCGCAATTCTTCATTAATAGATAGGTACGTTGTTTTATCGCGAACGATAAAACATATCGAGGCTTTTCATCGACGCGACGGTCCGAAAGGGGGAAAAGAGAAAAAAAAAAAAAAAAAA